TAGTTCTTTAGATGTTCCCCGCCACAGGTGCTCCTCCCACTGTCCTCCCCGTCACCCTGAACGACAACTCCATCCTTCCGGTGGCTCATCCTTGACTCCTTCCTCCTCCAACACCTCACATCCTGTCCACAGCAAAGTCTCTGCACCCGTTGTGCATCTTCAGCCCAACCACCTCACCGTTCCCATTACCACGGGGCTCTAAGCCTGGTCACCCTTCACCAGGATGGTCTCCCCTCACTCCCTCCAATTCCCTATGGCAGCCTCCTAAGAGGCTTTGAGTAGTAAGACCAGGCCAGCAGCCCAGAACTCCCCAGGGGACCCCAATTCCTCCAGAGACAATATCAAAGTGCTTACTCAGCCTCCCAGCCCCTCACGATCTGACTCCGCACTGTCCCCACCGCAGCCCTCTTCTCTCCCCTCTTGTTCTGTCCAGACCTGCCAGCCTCCTTGAATACATGATCCACTCTAGTCTGAAGCATCTTCCCTCATGGTCCCCTGTTCAAAATTGAAATGAACTTCCTTCACGTCTCCACATAGACTCTCCCCTCAACTCCTCCAGGTCTTCATCCAAACGTCACTTTCTCAGCTAGGTCTTCCTTAACCACACGATGGAAAACTGCAGCTCTTCTTCTCCAAATGCCCTGATCCTTCTTTTCTGCTACAGTTTTTCTCCTTGGCAACAACAGTCAACAACAACTCTTTTTTTTTTTTTTTAATCTCAACCGCATCTTCCCACCAGAATATAAGCTCTGTGAGGTCTGAGAAGTTTCTGTGCTGTGTTCACTGCTGAATCCCAAAAATGAGAACAGTGCCTGGCATAACCCAGTGAACCTTTGTTGAATAAATGAATAAATGAATGATAGGCATTTGGGGTGTTTTTGATTTTTTTGCTACTAAAATAAATGCTGCAACAATACTGTACACCTGGTCATTTTGTTTACATGGGAGTATATTTATAGAACTAATACCTACAAGAAGTGGAAATTACTGGGCAAAAGGACGTGAACAATTGGAATTTTGATAAACATTCCCTGAGAGTTTGGTGGTTAGGAACCCCACCATAATCCACCACCGTTATGTTGAACAAATCACATGATTAATTGTATGGCACCCCATGTAGACCTGGGTTCATTACTGGATGGAAAGAAGTAATCAAGAGAAAAGCTGCCTGAGGAATAAACAAGTTTACTAACCATTAGCCATTATTGTCCCATCAGAGGCACAAATGGGTCATCATGTGTCCTGGCCACATTGCAGTCATCATACCTGATATCTGTCTTCTTGAAGGCATGGACCCAAAGTGCAGGTCCTACAGCTTGGATTATTTCTGACATTACAAAACTTTATAGGAGGGAGGACCTTCAGGCCATTGAACATAATCTGCAGAGAGGCTACATTTCTCCCACATGGGTTCGGAGATGCCCTGGTCAAAAATTTCCTTGGACTCTGCCTGGGCTGTCAAATGGCATGACCCCTTCATTCCCATTGTGGTCTATATGCATAGAGCAGAGCCCACCCAGGGAAGCTGTGGTCAGTGACCTGGCACTCTACAGCACCATTCTAGGCCAAGAATCTCCCCAGTCCTGGGCAGACACAGTCACAGCTCTGCAGTGGTCCTTTGCTTGCGTATATAACAGGGTTGTTTTGGAGAGTGGGTCCTTTTTTGCATATGACCCTGAGAGATTTATAAACAGAAATCTCACCCTAGCTGGACTTACTTGGCTCAAGCTAACAGTGGCACAGGCTGTTTGGGGGCTTTTGATGAAAGAGTTTAGTTCCTGACGCCCTTTAGCCCCCTCCCTCCCAATACCCACTCCAGGGTCAAAGGAAGGAGCTGGAGCTACACCATGGAACTGACCAGTCAAGTGTTAGATAGGCCCTTCAGGCTCTGTTGGACCTGGAAGTTAAAGGGCTGCATTGTGCTATTTCTTGGAAACTTGGCCCCTCTAGAATCTTTTGGATTTGATTTTTTTTTTTTTTTAGTCTCAGTTCTTAACGATTCTGTCCTCTGCAAATGCTAAAGTGTGTTCACGTGGTTTCCTGAAGATCCAGAAAAAGGTTTGAGAAAGAAGCACCCTAGTTGTTCAGAGTGCACAGCATCCATTTCACATCCAAGTGGCAAGTATCGAAGTCTGATAAGTGTGGTGTGACTCAGTCTCCCATACGTCTGCTGGGAGTTAACAGACACGGCCACTGTAGAGCGCATTTTGACTAAAGAGACACCTACCTTTGGGACAGTAATTCCACTTTAAACATATACACCCTGGAGAAACCCGTGCACAGGAAGACCTGTGTAATAATGTTTACCATAGCCTTATTAGCAATGGTGAAAACTGGAAACCACTGAAATGCTCATCAACCAGAGAGTGAATAAATACATTTTAGTTTAGACCTATAGGGGAATCTTTTTTTTTTTTTGGTGGTGCTGGGGATTGAACCCAGGGCTTTATGCATGTGAGGCAAGCACTCTACCAACTGAACTAGATCCCCAGCCCTAGGGGAATCTTTCCAGCAGTGAAAATGCATGTACTAGAGCTCTATAAATCAACCTAGGTAAATCTTAAGAAAGCAGTATTAAGCAAAAATTGAAGCAAGTCACAGAAGGATATATACATAATGCAATGCCATTGATATAAAGCTTAAGAGTATCCCCAAATACTATACACTGTTTATACATATACATATAACAAATCTCAAAGAATGTATTAGCAGGATAAATCCAAAAATTCAGGGTAGTGGTCCCTATGGTCTGAATATTGGTACCCCCGCCAAATTCCTATGCTAGAATCTAATACCCAAAGTAGTAGTGTGAAGAGGAACCTCTGGGAAGTGATTAAGTTGTGAGGGCTCCACCCCCAAGAAAAGGATTAGTGCCTTTATGTTAGAGGCTCAAGGGCCATTCCCTCACCCTGCCACCACTTGAGGAGCAGTGAGAAAATAGAAGCTGAGAACGAGCCCTTACCAGCCTTGACCTTGAACTTCGTCAGCCTCCATAACTGTGAGGCAATAAATTTCTATTGCTCATAAATTACCTAGTTTACGATATCTTGTTGCAGCAGCAGGGATGGACGAAGACAGTGGTTATCTTTGGCAAGGGGAAGAAAAGGGATGTGGGGTTATGTAGGCACCATTAATGGCCTCTGTAATATTTTATTTCTTAAGGATGTGAATCATATTATTAGATATGTTTTTATATGCCTGATCTATTTCACAATTAAAGAGACATTTTTTAAAGTGTTTGAATCCATAGGGAGCAGCGTTGTATATGCTGGGACCGTGGCTCATCCCAGTGAGTCTGTTCTGCCTGCTCCTAGAGTCACATAGCGGGGACAATTAACACCATCAAGAAGCCCATCTAGGGCTGGGGATGTGGCTCAAGCGGTAGCGCGCTCGCCTGGCATGCGTACGGCCTGGGTTCAATCCTCAGCACCACATACAAAAACAAAGATGTTGTGTCCACCGAAAACTAAAAAATAAATAAATAATAAAAAAAAAGAAGCCCATCTGGAGATCTTTGTGAATCTCCACATTCATGACCATCACCAGAGCATATAATTTCCTCATAAAGCTCAGTTAAGTGTAACTCAAAGACTCAAGTGAACTCTCCACACTGACCACGGTTCTAGAGCTCTAGCCGAAGTAATTCATAAAAACAGTTGGCTTCCCGCTCATGGCCACTTACCCCATAGAAACAGATCTGCATGTTTTTCTTCTTCGTCAGATATCACATTTTCACAATAACCCTACGGCCTGCCACATGGCTCAGGATTCACATTCATGCCTCAGGAGATTCATTAAGTGCCTCATAAAGTGGCCCTTTGTAGGCGCTCATGCAGAAACCTCAAATGTTCAGTCCAAGGAGGCCTAGGGCCACTTTGAGCACTGTGGTGACAGTGGGGTGGCATGTGCCCTGGTCATGGCTGTTTACCAAACATTAGCAGCCTACACACAGCAGCAGAGCAGGGAGGCAGGAGGGACTGGGGACTTCAAACCTTGTTGGATCTGGGTTCTCTTCCTCACGTCCCCCTATGTGCACGGTCTATGCAAGGGCTAGTGTAGGGGGGGCACTGTTGAGCTCCTAGGGAGGCCTCAAGCTGGCCTGGCTGAGTTTTGACCCTGAGCCCATGGGCTGGAGTCTCAGCAGGGCCCTGATGGCTGCTAGTGGCCAGCTGGCATTTGGAGATGGACTTCTCATCCTAGCCAGCTGAGGTTTCTAATGTACATTGCCTGGGGCAACTTGACGGCATGTCAATCTGCACCCAAAATGCTCTTATTCTCCAGGGGACTGACTCATGCCAGCAATGCCAAGTGTTATGAAGGGTCACAGAGGGGTGAGACCACAGGTGGGGACAGACCATCTTCAGGGAAGCTGGGTGTATGCCTTGAGGACACCTGAGCCTTGTCCACGCCCTCTATGTAAGGTGAGCAGAGCTCCTGCTGGTCTCCAGGGGGGGGGGCTACTGAGAGGACGGAGAGGAGGCAAGCAAGGGTCCATAAGGTAAAATCACTCGTACTGGATTATCTATAATAAAAAAGCAACCTTGATCTCCTGATCTGGGTACAAACTGGGATTCCAGGGGTGCTCTGAACTCTCAGGCACCTTCTAGATTCCTGATGTCACAGGTCCACGAAATGAACCTTCCCAAATGAATAAAGGAGCGAGGCTCCCTGCCCCCACCCCAGATCCCAGCCAAACCTACTCCCCACTATCGCCTCAAACATGCCCACTGCTGTCGCACACCCTTGCTCACGTAGCTCCCTCTGATTACAATAATCTCCTCTTGGCGCTCACTGAAATCCTACCTGCTCCCTCGGGCTCATTTCAGGACCTCCTTCCTGAATGGATGAGATGTTCCTCTCCTTGGTCCCTGTGCACCCCGCCAGCACCTGGCGCCATTCCCACAGGAAGTAGGTGCTCAGCGTGCCTTCCACTGTATGAAGCGCGCCAGGCCCCATGGGCCTGTCAGTGTTTCCCTGCACCTGGGAACCCCAGCTCTTACCTTGGGAGTGAACATGTGTAGGATGCCATCGACTGCTCCTCGCAGCAGCAGCCCTCGGACCAGAAAGCAGGCCAGCACCACGTAGGGGAAGAGGGAGCTGAAATACATCACCTGCAGGGAGGACGGAGACCCACCATCAGGCAGAACCCCCCCTGCTCCTGCAGCTTGCATAGCCCTCCCTGCTCACAGGTGGGGCACACGAGACTCCTGGGATACCAGACAGCAGTCAGCAGAGCCTCGGAGTCTCTGGGCACCAGGCCAACCCATCACCCATCTGGCCCAAGCCCAGGCAGGAGCAGGAAAGGCTGGAGTTCACGTGGCTGGCCCAGGGCTTGCTTGCCTCCCAAGGATTGAGGTTTAGGCCCCCATCCTCAAGGCTGCCAAGGGTGAGGGAATCCTAGCTCTCCTTCTCATTTACTCAAGTCTCATGCCCCTGTCCTTAGAGTTCCTTTGACAGAGGCATGCAGGAGGCCACAGACAAGGTTCCCAATCAGAGACCATCAGGAAGCCTAGTCCTGTGAGCCCGAGCCCACGCTATTTGCTGGCCTGTGCATGTCTTGCATATTTTTATTGCTCCGTAGGCCTGGTACAGAGCCACATGCAAAGGCTATGCTCACAAAACATCCTGTTCTGAAGCAAATCCCAGGGGTTGATGTGGGCAGGATGGTGCAAAGGTTAAGAAGGTGCATGTCCAGAGCCATGTGCCCAAGTTCTGGGCCTGCCTCTACCAGTTGCCGTGGCCTCCAGCCTATGGACTTAACCTTGATGTGTCTTTGTTTCCCTGTCTCTAAGAGGGGTGTGAAAATTTCTAAGGCTCTAAAATTTCCACATAAGGTTGTTGAGGATGACATGTGTTCACATATGTGGCTGTACTGGTAAGTTCCACAAAGCATCAGCTACGATTTTGGCCTCCAAAGAGGGGAGAGATCAGGAGCCAGGATGATGCTACCTTCAGGAACTTAGCTTCCTTGCTCATCAAGTCTGGCCAAGAACCCAAAACCTCAGACAGAACAGGCTCGGGTTCCAGCTTTGAGGCTAATTGGCTGCATGAGGTTAGACGACACACTTGCCCCTCTCTGGGCCTCAGTTTCCTCATCTGTAAAATGAGTGCATGGAGCTACAGGATTTCTAACATCCTTTTCATCCCTGGCAGGGCGTGAGTACTGATAGGGGACAAGTAAGAAAGGGCCCTCTTCAGAAGGGATCTGATCTGCTGGGGAAAGGTGTATGGGCCTGGCCAGTGTGCACCCCAAGATGGAATGACAATAGAGCTGCCTTCAGAGGCCCCCAAGGCCCCCTTCACTCACAGCATTCACTTGCTCAAACAACCCTATAGTTGTTGACATGGAAAATGCTGGTTTTCACCCCAAAATCACTCAGAGCAAGTGACTCTAGGGCTTTGCTTGGGAACCTGAAGGGACAGAATCTAAACAGATATTCCTGAGTCAATGCTTCTATCTTCCTTCTCTTTAATGTCGCAGGGCTGGACTGAATTCTCTGAGCATGAAGGCAGTCAGGGGTCAGGACAACGATCTTCCAGCAAGTCCAGCCCTGGCCTGCTGTTCACAGTGGACAACAACGCAGGGGTTACTCCCACCGGGTCCCTGGGGGTCAGTGCCATCACCCTGAGCCATCCGGAACATAAGCCAACCGAAGGGCCCTGCACTGGTGACGTGGAGTTCTCAGTCCCCTGACCTCTGTCTTTCTGCTGTCCTCCTCCAACTCACCTTCCCTGAGGACTGGATCCCCTTGACCACAGCCATGCCCACAATGCTCCAGGCCACGAGAAGGCACAGCGTCATCTTCCAGTTGAGGCCCCCGCTCTCAGAGATGGAGTTGGAGATATCCAAGGCCTCTCGGTACCAGAAGTAGGTGGTGGCCGAGCTCTTCTCACATTCTGCCTCCACCACTGAAACAGCAGCAGAGGCCACAGAGCTCAGTGGCGAGGCCCCTGGGGCCACCTCTCCTACTGGACCTCTGCTCAGGGTGAAGGCGTGGCTGATGGTGGGCAGCTGGAAGGGGCTGTGCTCGTTTTGGGTTAGCCATGATCTGGCAGGTCCCGGGGAATCCCAGCTCCTGATGGAGGCCGGGAGGCCACAGGTCATGCTGAGCTGGGTGAATTCCTCGGACAGAACAGGCTCGGGTTCCAGCTTTGAGGCTAATTGGCTGCATTCTATTCCCCTGCTGCCCACATCCATCCATAGAAGGTAGTAAGGGTGGAGGTTGAATTGGCCTGAAGGTCCTTGGGAAAGGTCCTAGATTCTCACCCCAGATCATTGGTTAAATGGATACTGGGGACATGGGAAAGTAGCTTCAAGGGCCTCAGTTTTCCCATCTGCAAAGTGGGGTAATCATCCAGCCCTTTGTAGGACTGGCATGCAAATCAAGATTATTCCCACGCAGCCTGGAGTTAGAATAACACAGAGTAATCCATACTAACCAAAGAAAAATAAGAATTATAGTGTTCTAACTACCCTCATTTAATTCAGTCCTCTAAGTACCCCCGTGGGAGAAGCCAGAAAGGGATCACTTGTACTGTAGAAATGGAAATAAGGATCAAGGGGGTTAAGGGACTTGTCCAAGGTGACACCTCAATGAAATTCCCAATCTGTGCAGTAAGTCTGTTAGACTCCTGCTAGGGAGAGAGCTGGCTGAGTCCCCAGCTGTGGCTCAGGAGTCCCATACTTGCCTGCCACGGTCCCATTCCTGATGACAGGACATTCGCTCCAGGGCAGTGGGTACTGGAAGGACTTGAAGAAGTAGAAGATGCTCCATCCGATGATCACGTTATAATACAGCCCAACAAAGAGGCACACCTGAGGATGGGGACCCAGGGTGGGATCACAGAGACTGGGGGTTAATGGCAACGCCATCCCACCCAACGCTCCATCCCAGGGCCAGCAGCACAGGCCAACGACATAGGACACAGCAGCACAGCCACGAAGGGGGACGACCAGGGATGAGACGGAACAGCAGGAGCAGCAAGGACCTGCTCCCCATCCCCCATTCATCTGGCACTCAGGCAACCACAAAAGAATTCTTTGGATATTAAAGTTGTCTTAAATAGACTCTTAAAATGTTAATCCTTTCCAGTTTTGAAATTCCTCTAAGATGCTTGAAGCCCTTCCCTGCCATTTCCTGAGGACCTAGGATTCTGATTAGAGATGTCCTCCAGGACCAGAGAGGCTGCGCAGCTTTTGCCCTTATAGGAAATGGCCCCAGGCGGTTGTGCTTTATGAGATTTTATGGATTGCTGGTTTCCTATGTCTTCCCTTCTCTCAGGATATTACTCTCTCTTTGGTTCTGTTATAGCAGCCGGCCTCCAGAAAAACACCACTTTTTATTTCTTGGAAACAATAACTAAGCTTGGTAGAGTTTTATTTAAAATAAGAGTACATGGAATCTGATGGAGGGTCCAAAGGGTTTCTTTGAAAGTAATGTTTTATGGACAGAGATTTGCAGCATCTGATCTACATGCTGAGGGGTCCCTTCCAGGGGCCTGGCAGTGGGAAGACTGCTGTTCAGAGTAAGAGCCCAGGGCCCCTTGCTTGGTTCCGTTCACCTGAGTACCTGTGCGCAGAGCAGACGCTTGCCCAGCAGGCTGTGTGGGGACAGAAATGGAGAGAGATGCCCGTTTCCTTTACTTAGGTGCTTTCAGTGCAAGGGGAGACCCGGCACACACTCCTGTGTGTGACTGCGGCCAGCCCAGCAGAGTGCACTGTAGCTGGCCAGATCAACTTGTGCAAAGGCAGTGCCCTGTGGGTGAGTAGAGGCCAGACAGCCCCTCTCCTAGGCTCTCCCTGGAGCAGGTTTGGACTGGCCCTGCCATTCTGCTTGATGGAATCCTTAGTCCCTTCCAGAGCAGATTCCAGTTTCTATTCCAGGTATGAGCATAGGCAACTGTCGGCTTTGTCCTTAAGGGACACTCAGTTCTTCACCTAGAGCTCTACACGGGGCCTCATCTGCCACCTGGTGGCTGAGCTGGAGGCCTCATGGACTTCCCCTCCCAGGATTCTGGGGGTCTCCCTCTCTCCACTGTTGCAAAGCCTCACCTCTCCTGGGTAGACCATAAGGTTCCTGAGTCCTCCAAGGGGGCTCATTTGTGTAGCACCAAGGCAACAGGGCCCTGAGCCTTTTCGGAGTCACCGACATTCCCAGTGGAAACACTGCCTGCCCAGGGAAAGGGGTAGGGCCCTGTTACAGGGAACTGATGGCTGAGAAGCAGAGATAGGTATTTTAGATGGTCTATATGTCCCCCAGAGACCCTGGCTGAGATGTCCCAGGGCCTCCCTTGTGAACATGTCCCAGCATTGCCTCCTTTGCCTCAGCTGCAAATATCACGTTCTACTTCGGGCAGGGCTGTCGACTTTCAGTGTAGGAAATATGGTAACTGTAGCCCCAGACACCAGCTGGAAGCAATTCTCCTGTTGGGTGACCCCTTGCTGCCTTTGTCTTGGCCCAGGACTGTGGCCTGTCAGCCTCTACCCAAGAGTGTCCCTTCTGTCTCTGGCTTAGTGCCTTCCCCAGCCCTGGACTCACAATGCAGCTGGAAAAGCCAATGCCCCCCAGGCGGGGACACACGTAGTGCCACACACCAATGCTGCCGCGACGGATCCTTTGGCCCACAGCCAGCTCCAGGAAGAAGAGGGGGATGCCAATAATGATCAGCAGCACCAGGTAGGGCACCAGGTAGGCACCTGTGGAGAGAGAGGAGGGGTGTCAGAGGCTGTCTAGAGTACAAGGTCAGAATGAGAGAAGGTGTAGCGGCAGGGTCACCCAGTAATCACATCTCAGATCATCCACACACTGTCCCCAGTCCCAGGGCCCTTTCATGCCTGTGACCTACCTTACACTGGCTCATTCATACCCTGCTTCTCCTTGACTCCCCCAGCCTAAAATGCTAAGGGAGGAACATACGTATATCAATACTCCTGCTCACTAACTCAGAAACAGACAGAGGGAAGGACATCTCACTGCGTCTCGGGAACGCATGCGTCAAGTCATATGCAGACACATTCACCTTAGAAAATACTCTGTGGACATCTGTTCACACCCCTCCTGCCCACAGGTAAGGAACCCCAGATGGCATGGGCCCTGATCACTTGCCCCCAGTGGCCCTGCCTGCCCATATCTGAGCCAGATGCTGATGCAGCAGACTGGGCAGCTCCAGGGAAGCAGAAATTGGAAGCTCTCCAGGGAGGGGGGGGGTCTAACCAGCATCCTCATTAATCCACAGCTAATTGGGAGGAACAGAAGAGAAATTGGCTGTTCAGGAAAGCGTAGTCACGAGGATCATAAAGGATAGAATGAATCTTGCTAAAGATTCCAGATGATAAATGAATCTTGCTGTCCTAAACCTCACTGCAGACACAATCTCAATTCCAAGTGACAGGGCATTTAGCAGGAGAATTAAAGCCACGCCTGGACATGGACGAATGCACGCCACAGAGAGCTGTGCCAACAACACAGTCCTATTAGCAAACTGTCATCCAGGCCCTGCCTGTCTATCAAACAGTCTCAGGCCCGCCCTAGTCACCAAGGCCCTGATGGTCACCCAGTGCCTGTGAGCAGTCTCCAGATGTCCCCCAGCCTCACTGCTCTGCCCCTATCACATAATATCTCACATTCTCTCCTATATGTGCCAGATTTGCCAAGAAACACTGGGGACTGGGCACCAAACCTGGCACTTGGCAACAGTCAGCTGTGTACTGCGGGTCTACCCAGTGCCAAGCAGGAAAGTAGGGGGACAGTGGAGTAACAGAAGGCACAGACGCCATCCTTGGGGGAGCTCACAATCTGTGAGGGAGGTTGGGCTCTCAGCTGCACACGGGCAATGTCAGCACTGGTCACATGAAACCAACTGAGCAGTATGTATGTAGATATGAAGGAAGGGGCCGGGTTCTGGGGAGGCAACCCACCGAGTCATATACAATAGCACTGAATTCATCACCGTAGTGCACATAAATTCAACACGTCAAAAGCAGCCCCGTCATGGTGCTCAAAGGAGGAAGGGTCTGAAGGAATACAGGTATAGACCCCTGGGTCTGTCTAACTCAACTTCTTGGCCTTGGGTGGAAGGAAATGGAAGTAGAAAGAAGCAATCTGCTATAGGAAGGCAAAGGAAGATAGCCTTCCTGGTTTTTTATTTATATGCCGCAATATCCTTGAGAGGGACTAGACATGCAGGGAGATGGGTTTCAGAGTATTGGCATCTTCTACAGATGTTTCTTTCCTCTCCTCAACAGTGAACCTGCCTAAACCAGGTACTGGCCTCCTGCTGCTCAGGCCCCATCCACCTCAGTCAGGCAGGACACAGGGGGCTGACCTAGCTGCAGGGTTCTCCACCAGGCTGAGGCCCTGCTGACCAGAGTGCTCGAGGGGCTGTGTGAAGTCTAGGGGAGCTCAATTTGTAGTGTATCAGCTTTTGTTGAAATCATTGGAGAAGACAGTAGCACCCTCTTCCATCTCAGAAAACACAACCTGGGGACACAGTGGGTTTGCTTCCATGTTTCAGCAGCTTTCAGGAGCCTCCAGTCGGGACAGCTGGGAGCATTAGGAAATTGAGCAAAATGTGGACGGACTCCAGGCTCTCTGAGGCTCCCTGGATCGCTAGCAATCTATGTCTCAGTCTACACCCAGCTCCTTGGTTCTGGCAAACCCCAGGTTTCTTTCCAGAGCTTTAAAGACTACATTGGCCCTAACCCATTGAGCTCTGGATTAAGCAGGAGCCAAGTTCAGATCCTGGAGGCAGACCTCCCAGGCTTGAATCCTGGCTTTGCTACTTACTAGCTTGTAATTTGGGACAAATTACTTGATATCTTGTCATCCGTGTAAAAAGGATGGAAATATTAAATAGAAACATGAAAAATGGCTGATATTGGACCATTTTTTACTTATATAAATGCCATTTCATACACTTTGATGCTCTATCTATCACAGGGCTGTATTGTAAAGAGAAAATGAGTTACTTATCCACATTAAGCACTTAATAAACATTTGCCTCTTTCTCATAAAAATAAACAGAAAAGAGGCAAATTAAGAGGATGCAAAATAAAGAAATTGCTGGCATCTGGTGGAGCTAAGCAGAGTCCCAGAGTTTCCATCCAGAATTAAGCAAGGTTTGATTGAATCACCCATGTTTCAAAACCACCGAGTGCCAAGTCCAAGACCAAACACCTGTCTCCTCCCTAGGACCATGTGCTTCCTGCTCGACATTTAAGGTGACTTGTAAAACCTGTGAGAGGCAGGACAGTTAAAGGTGAGAAGGGATTGCCGGAGCTAGATAGGAAGGACAAATAAGGGCAGGAACATAGAACATAGAATGGGAGCTCAGAATCCTAAGAGTTGACCACACTTTTCTTCTGGGGGTGTTGATTGCTGACACTATGAACAGGCGATCTAGGTAAGAACACTGTCCTGAGAGAGTGTACTGTCCTGAGTGTGTGCACGTGCACACATGCAGTAGTCAGGGGGACTCTGGGATTCAGCACCAGGTATCCAGGCAGGGTTGATCATCTAAGCCAGCAAGGACAAGATTAGAGGTTCTGAGTAAGTCCCCAAATGCCAGCTGTGATCCAAAAATGTTTGGTGCTCCCAAGCTCTTCTCGGAGGAAAAGCATAAGGAAGTCAATACTTTTGTTTATATCTTGCTTTGAGCTGGTCTTATGTCAACATGGTGACCACATCAAAAGCTCTGATTGGCAGTTACTTATAGAAAAAAAAATCAAAAATGTCTTTCAAGGAAGGGAACCGTGTGGTGAATATACTCTACAGTGGAAGCCTCTGGCCTGACTCAGTCACATGAGCTCAGACGGGCAGTCTCACTCCCTCTCCTTCAATAGAAACTGGGAAGGAAGAGAAGCCCCCAGGCAGACTTTGCCTTTTGAACCAGGCAGAGAATGTGTCCTCATGTCCTTGTGGAGAGGAGGGGAAGCCGCTGGATGGGGCTGCATTTCAGTGCTGGAGAAGCAATGCCTGGGGGCTTCTGCCCACCCTGGCATCTGGAAGTGGTGATGGTGGTCTGACCCCAGCAAGATCCTCAAGAGAAATTCACACAGGTACAGCATGAGGTCCCCTACAGGAGTGGGGCAGGTGGCAGCAGGTGCCATAAGCAGTACATAGGCTGGGGCTAGGTTTTTCAGGTTGAGTCCTAACTATGTCACATGACCCTGAACAAACCACCTAAACAAGCTGTGTCTCAGTTTTGCAGTCTCTAAAGCGAGGATGATGATACAACTCCTTCCTCACATAAGATGGTTGGGAGGATTCCATGGTCGGACTTGTGAAAACGGTAATGTGGTTGTTTCAAGATGCTCAAATATCAGCAGTTTCAGGCCTAATAGCCAGTGTTTAGAAAATTCTTAGCACCTAGTAGGCATTTGAAAATAGTGGCCAACAGGTGCTCTTTATTATGGGTCGTGTAGTGTATAAAGCTCATTTAATCCTTCCACTCCCCTGTGAGGCAGGAGCCACTCTTCATTATTACCCCCATTTTACAGATGAGGCACAAAGAACTTAAGCAACTTGTACTAGGTCCCGGACTGGGATCTGAACCCAGGCAGTCTGCAGTCAGAGTACGCATTCTTATTTATCATCATGGCCTACAGCCTCTGGATAGCTATTAGCCACCGTTATGGCTATTCCTGGGAGTCACTCTGGAATCCTGAGTTGCCACCTTACATGGACTCCAGTTCTGCCTCCTTTTCACCCCTCAGCCCAGCCCATTCGCAGGGCACCTTGGTGCAAGCAGGGCAGCCTCTTACCTCCTCCATTTTTCTGGCACAGGTAGGGGAATCTCCAGATGTTGCCGAGGCCCACGGAGAAGCCGATCTGGGCCAGGATGTACTGCAGCTTGCTATTCCAGGCTGGTCGGTCCTCTGCGTCCAGCTCCTCCTCCGCTGCCTTCTGCTTGCCACCTGCCTCACCGGACACATTCAGTACACTCTGCTTATAGTCCACAGGCTCCTCAAGGGCCAGCAGGTCAGCCACTGACTCGGTGACATGTTCATTGCTGTGCTCACGTTGGGTCACCTTGCTGTTCTTCGGCATGGGTGCCACCGGGGCCGTGCAGCCCTGCTCCCCAGCACACAGAGAAGGTGGGACTCAGCTGCTGTCAGCTCTTTCTCATCCAGGGACCTATGAAAACAGGAGAGCAGGAGAGGATTAACTGAGCACACCTGGGAGGTAGGGGGCCCAAAGCAGATTCAACCTGATCAACTCCCTGGAGCACACTCTGAGGCTGGTCGAGGGCCTCAAAGGTTGAGCTTGGCTCCCCTTCCCATCATGCCCCCATTGCAGAGTTCAAGGTCTGCATGCTCAATTTTCCCATAAGAGAAAGGTAAACTTAATGGGGCAAAGTGGGCAAACCCATCCACTGAGCTGGAGTAAGGGGCCACCCATCATGCCACTGCCCTCTTCATACTGAAGAGTTGAGAGTATTCCAGATCCTTGGGAGACCCCTACAGCTTTCCCCCTTCCAGGCTGACCTACCTGTCTGGTATTCTATTGAGCTAAAACCACTTGGTAGGACCCAGGAAAACCAGTGTCTTCCTTTTCTAGGGTCTTTCTATTCAAAATAAAGTCCATGGACCAGTAGCATGACCCAGCGCTTGATAGAAATGCACAATCTCAACCCCACCCCAGACCTACTGAATCACTCTCTGCATTTTTACAGGATTCCCAGGTGATTCAGAGAAACATTAACATT